TATATATATATATATATATATATATATATATATATATATATATACTATATATTATATATATATAGTGTGTGTGTGTGTGTGTGTGTGTTATACATATGTATGCGTATATATGTATGTGCATTGATGATAATAATGATAATAATAATAACAATAATAATTATGATAATAATAATAACAATGATAATGATATCAATTAAAGTAATTATGATAAATAATAGATAAAAATAACAATGATAATAACAACGGTATTAATGACAATAATAATGATAATATCAATAAAGATAATAACAATTACACTAATAATGATATATTATAGTAATTTAGTAATAATAACAACAATAATTGAAAAAAATATAATAATAATGATAATAATGATAATATTAGGGATAATGATACAACTACTAATAGTAATGATAATGATAGTAATAACAACGATGATAATAGTAGCAATTATGATGGTATAATGATATATTATAAAAATAATGATAGTAATAATTGGTAACAATAAACAATAGTTAATGGTAATATAAATAACAATAATGATGATGATGATGAAATGATAATATAATAATAACAATAATAAGAATAAGAATAACAATAATGATAATAATAATAATTATGATAATAATAATGATGATGATGATGATGATAGTACTAATGATAATGATAATAATAATGATAATGATGATGAAATAATAATGATAACAATAATGATTATAGTAAATGATAGAAATAACAATAGTAATGGCAATAATGATAATAGTAATAATAACAATAGTAATGGTAATAATATAATGATAATGATTGTAATAATAACAGTAGCAATGATAATGACAATAATAATGATAATGATAACAATGATGAAAATAATGATATGATGATCGGTAATGATTATAATAATGATAATATTAGTGACAGTTATAATAATAATAGTACTAATAATAATAATGATAAGTAAAGATGAATGATAATAATGGTAATGATAGTAATAATGATAATAAAAATAATAATGACAATAACTGTAATACTGGTTTAGTATCATAAATGATAATCATTGATATCACTACTTACAATGCCAAAGGACAGGTGGATGACTGTCAGCCACAGCAACGGCCCAACGGCAGCCGACCTCCCTGACGGCCGCAGGAGAGCAACAGCAGAGCCCCCCCCCCTCCCCCTCCCCCCTCCCCTATCTACGTCTCATTAAGTCCGCGCAGGATAAATCTGTGTAAAGAAGAAAGGAGGAGGAGAGAAAATGTGGGTTGGGTAGAGAATAAGGAGGGAGAAAGGAAATGAGGAGAGGAAAGGAGGGGAAGGAGGGAGGAGAGTGATGGAATCAAAGAAAGAAGGTAGAAAGAAGAATGAGAGAGGGGGAGGGGGAGCGAAAGGAAAAGACCGAGAAAGGGTAAGTGAGAGAGAGAGAGAGAAGAAAAGAGGAAAGAGAAAGGGAATGAAAGAGACTGAGAAAAAAGAGAGAGAGATAGAATGGGAAGAGTAGAGAGAGAGAAGAGCAAGAACGAGCGAGCCACCGGAGGAGAAAAAGACAGAGACACAAAATGAGAGGGGGAGAGAGGGAAAAGAGAAATGAAGGGGTAACGGTCGTAGAAAATAAATCTCCCTCGAAGGACCATTCCAGCCGAGTTACAAGGCAGCTTCGTCACCGGCCTTCCCCTTCGAGGCTCCTCTGGCTGGGAAGAATGGGTCCAGGTGTGGTGATGAAGTGATGATGGCGTGCGAAGCTGCGTGATTGCAATGATGGTGAAGTTGTGTGTCTAAGTGATGTGGCGATGTGATGATGGTGTGGATGCCGTGAGGTTGTGTTGATGGTGAAATCTGTGATGTGATGTGGCGATGCAAGGCTGTGTCCAGGTTTTGATGGCGCGATGAGAGTGAGTGATGTGAGGTTGTCACGATGGTGCAGTCCAGTGTTCGTGCTTCGGTGATGTGAAGATGACGTGGTGATGAGGATGCAGGTTAGTGGCCAGGTGCTGTGGTGATGACAGAACAAGTGGAGTGATGAAGCAAGTCACGGTGTTGTGATTATGCGACGGCTTTGTGAAGGCGAAGCAGCAGTTCCTCGTCCTGGCGATGTGATGATGTTCGGCGGGACGAGGAGGCAGCCCTGCGCCCGCGTGGTGTGGTGATGGCGGTGGCGTGGTCGTCGCGATGGTGTCACGCCAAGCCCAGGTTATGAGATGCTTGATGATGTGATGTAATGTGATGTGACGTGATGTGTGTTGCGGTTTGCAGGGATGATTGATGCGATGCCTTGGGCTGTGGTGCCAGGAGGGCGGGGGGGGGGATTATTAGGAAGGGAGCTGAAAGGCAGCGCCACTGCACTCAGAACAGTGAAAACATCTACGATTCTGATGACTATGGCATGGCAGTGATGGCAATGCTATCAAGAGCAAAGGATGCATTAATGATGATAATGGGCATATAATACTAATGATGATTACGATAAAAAGCTAACAGAAATTACGCTGACACCGATGAATAGTAGTGATAACAAAGAAATTAATTATGATAATGATGATGGTAAGATTGATAATGGTAATAATGATAATGAATATAATAATGATAAAAAATAATATATGAAATAAATAATAGTTTTTATTATCTTATTATATTATCGGTATTATCATTACAATGATAATAGTATAAAATGATAGCGATAATAATTATGATCAATATCATTGCTACTATAGTAATATTAATAATGATGATAATAACAATTATTGTAACAATAATCATAATAATAATAATAATGATGATGATAATAATGCTACAAAGGACAATTATTATATAAGATAATAATAATAATAATATTTTATTACAATCATTAATAGTATAATAATGATAATAATAATTACAATAATAACAATATAATACAAATATAATAAATTAATGATAATGATGATGATAACTTGATGATGATAATAATAACAATAATAATAATGATGATGATGATGATGAAAATGATGTTGCTGATGATGACAATAATACACACGAAAAGAACATTATACTAAAAATTATAACAATATTAATCTTAATAAAACTCATGTCCTAAAAAGGTCTTTAACTTTATATTTTATTGGCATCATACATTTTATTTTATCTATTCCATTATTCCAATCGTTTACAATGATTTCTTCAGAGCTCTTTCAGTTTATTGATTATGTTTCTCTTCTATTTTGCTTGTCTTCAAAATTCTTATCGATTTCCCTCGCTTGGTCCTTTTCTTTCGTGTTAAAGTTTAACCCTTTTGTTTCTATCTTTCGTTTTCTTTTCTCTCATTCTTTAGTTATTGTCTATTTCTTTTTATTAGCTCTGTCTCTTTCTCACATTCTCTCTCTCTCTCTCTCTCTCTTCTCTCTCTCTCTCTCTCTCTCTCTCTCTCTCTCTCTCTCTCTTCTCTCTCTCTCTCTCTCTCTCTTCTCTCTCCTTCTCTCTCTCTCTCTCTCTCTCTCTCCTCTCTCTCTTCTCTCTCTCTCTCTCTCTCTCTCTCTCTCTCTCTCTCTTCTCTCTCTCTCTTCTCTCGTTCTCTCTCTCTCTCGTTCTCTTCTCTCTCGTTCTCTCTCTCTCGTTCTCTCTCTTCTCTTCTCTCTCTCTCTCTCTCTCTCTCTCTCTCTCTCTCTCTCTCCTCTCTCTCTCTTCTCTCTCTCTCTCTCTTCTCTTCTCTCTCTCTTCTCTCTCCCAAGCTCTAGCCTTACTTCCATTTCTCTTACTGTCTGTCCATCTCTCTATTACTCCCTCCTCCCTCTCTCTCCCTCTGGCCACCCCCTCTCTCCCTCCAGCCACGCCCCCCCCTCCACCCAACTCACCGCCCTCGTGTCTCTCCCCGCCCCACGCAACAGGATGACCGACGGGCCCTACTCCACCACCTGTCGCATCCACGGCTCCACCAACATCCACGACGACGGCTACGCCCTCGAGAACTCCGACAAGAGTCCCACCTTTCGACCCTTCCAGCACAACCTCCCCCACTGCTCGCCCGAGGTCCACCGCACGTGCTGGTGCGTCAACTTCATCGCCGAGCACACAAGACTCAAGGAGGATTCGACGAAGGTGGGCCGCTCATTCCTTGAGGGTTTTTCTTTTCTTTCTGGGAGGGTGAGGGGGGGGGTGAGCGATGCTGTGTGTATGTGTGTGTGTGTGTGTGTGTGTGTGTGTGTGTGTGTGTGTGTGTGTGTGTGTGTGTGTGTGTATGTGTATGTGTGTGTGTGTGTGTGTGTGTGTGTGTGTGTGTGTGTGTCATCTGCGCGTTTTTTTTAATTCTATTTGGCACATTTTTTTTATTTTGATCAAATTTATACTCTTTTTATCAGAATTCATGAATGGCTCATATACAACTAAAAGTATACGCTTACATAAAAACAGATTCACCGTTATCACAAATAACAAAAAGAAATAGCCAGAAAATGCATTTAATTTCCATAAAAGCGAGGGAGACGCCGGGAACGCCCTCTCCCTCCGCACAAAATAAAATAACAGTGAACAAAAAGAAAACTAACTCTCCCAATGGCGTCGGCAGGTGAAGGAGGACTGGAAGTACGTGGCCATGGTGCTGGACCGGCTGTTCCTGTGGATCTTCACCCTGGCAGTGCTGGTGGGCACGGCCGGCATCATCCTGCAGGCGCCTTCGCTCTACGACGACCGCGTCCCCTGGACAAGAAGCTCAGCGAGGTGGTCCGATCTCATCCTTCCAATAACTAATCACGCGCCGCGGTTAAGGAGCGCTTCTCGGGATTGTTTTGTTTTTGCCTGGAGCGAGGTGCCAATGAGGATTTTTCATCAAGGTTGTCATAGTGTTATTAGAATCATTATTATTATCTTTTTCTTCCAAAGATTTTTTTTCTTTTGGTATTCAAATGCGTTACTGTGCGAAATCATCTTTCTTTGTTTTTATATATAAACATTACTAAGAGTATGTCATGGAGAAAAATAAAATCATTTTAGCTTTATTTTTAAGGTAATTCGGAGTGCGAGGAGATTGGAGAATCCTGATCCATGAGTTTCCCAGTTGTTTGGATATTATATCATATATAGATAGACTCGGTAATGTAAATGCAAAAGAGTTTTACATTAGATTGTTGACGCATATGAAATACATTCATATATAGCATAAGAAGCGTCCTCACCTATTGACATTTATCAGTCTATTTTTCATCTCTACTTGTTTTTAGCATAATCATTATGAACAGGATGCTCATTTTAACATGTTAAAATGATGCGCAGCCTAGTTACATGTTTTATTTCATTACAATCATTTTTAATGATTTTTTATTATTGAAACATCATGCCACGGTGGACAAAGAAATGAAAATCATACAATCAATCAATCAGTGTGTAGTTGTGTTTATATTATATTTAACAGATAAGAAAAAAATATATACAAGAGGTAAATTACTTGCCTCTGTAGACTTTCTATAAACCAAAGTGTAGATTACAGACAGTGCTGTACTATACATATTTTGTAACATAGAAGTAGACACAAAACATCTCGTCAAAGGAATGATAACAGGTCAATTTGATTTTCGGCGCGAAAGATTGTTACGAGGGAAGAGAGAGAAAGAGAAAGAGAGAGAGAAAGACGGAAGTGTGATAACGGTTTTCTGCGAGTGGACTGAAGAACTTATTACCTTTTTAGTATTATAGTGCAAAGATAAGCTGCTCTCTGCATCACCATGGACACTATATGTAGAAAAGCGGTGAACGGATTCGTACACGGACAACAAAGACGCTCACGTAGAAGAAAAAGAAATATTTGTGCAAAGAGAGAAAGCCAATCGTATATTCTGTTGTAAAAGAAAAACGAAACTAAAATCCTTAATAAGAAAAACAAAAATGAGAAACGACTTTTTCTTTGCTTATATGAACACGAAAGGAAAATAAAAAGGACACCAAGAGAGAAAGACTAAGTAAAAAGGAATATGGATATATATAGATGATCTCTTACTTGACAGAGATGTGTGTATATATTAAGCAGTAGCAGAGCACTTGTTCGCCTGCTGAACTGATTAGCAGGAACCTAGACATCTTACGGTGAAGTTATATGTGCAGAATAGCAAGTTTAAGATAAAAAAATTGTGTTGGATGACATATTTCCATTGTGTTATTCCAAAGATTGATACAAAGTTACAGTATTCTATAGCAAAAAAAAAGATTATCTGATACTGTAAATAGATATATGATATCACTTTGTTGTTAATAATGATAGACTGATTGATATTCTTGAAGTCAGTGGCATTGTTATTATAGAAATTATGTAACTGAATTCTCGATATTGTTTGAAGTGTTTAATGATGTGGAAAAAAAATATTAAAATCCCTTAGCAAGTAATCCTGATTTTGTTGCCAATCAGAATAAACACACATTCCCTCAAAATATATCTTTTTGTCATAAATGTAAAATGAAATCTGTCTTTCCTAAAGCCACAAAAAATTATAATAATTCTTGCCTATGTCTTCTTGTACAGCAGCATATAGACCACACTGTTATAAAAAAAATGAATGTTAATATATCGTAGAGCCTCGGACAAGCAGTTCTGAGAAAACTACATTCTTTTCACTCAACATAACTTTTAAGAAATCTAGCCAAGATTTTTTTTTCAATTAAATCATAAAATTCTTATTATTCTTTTTCTTAGACTATGAAATAAAGAGGATGAGATTTCTCAGAAAAGCCTCTCTGAATATCTATCATATTGTATGCTGAGAATTAGCAGTACTGAGCTTTATGATGTCTAAATAAAGTTCGGTATTTTTTTTACTCCCATGACTTGTAATATGAATTAACGATAGGGATGATGACTTCAAGGCTTAGACTGGAAGTATATACTTTGGTTTCATACATTTTGGAGGGAATATAGTCACTTACACACACATATATATTCATTCATCTATTTTTTCTTCGACCAGTAATGTGCGACTCTGGTGATCACACAATTACGAAATTTGAGAGCCCAAGTTTTCCTCCACAATGTGGAAACGAAAGAGCTAAACGTTGGAACTCGTCTGTGACAAGAACCAATTGTAAAAAAAAAAATATAAATAGACTTCAAATTGGCCACGACTTTTTAGAGAAGCGGGTAAAGACACGAACGGTCTTTTGATTTTTGAATGTCGAACTCAAAATGCTGATTTTGTAAAACCTTAGAGAATAGAATGCTCACAGCCAATCATTGTCCAGTTAGGATAATTGTGTTAAGAAAATATACATAATGTAAGACCTTGTTAACATGCATCGATCCGTGAGATTTGTAAAAAAAAAAATTGTTGACCTTTAAAAAAAAAGTATTTCAGCGGTTGTACTAAGATCCTTTTGAAATTTTAACTGATACCAATTCCATCAAAGGGAGGCCTGGGTTGTAAAGGCGGCGAGTCGGAATGCGTTTAGGCCTCGAACAAATGAAAAATTAATGTATGCAATATATATATATATATATAATATATATATATATATATATATATATATAAATATATAATATATAAATATATA